GCTAAAGCATGCTCACTCTCCCTGCCGCCTCACGACTGTTGTATGGGTCACCTTCCCCACCTCCTCTCGTGTCTACTCTGGCCAGAGAGAACAACATACCAAAGACATCAGAAGAATTACACAACTTTCTTCACACAAGAGAAATCTTGAATCATAAAGACGATGGTTTGGATGGCTTTAGAACAGCAATGCCTCTGAGGTGGAGAAGAGATTCCAGGGAATACAGAAAATATAGAGACACAGAAATGGAAGCAGTGAAATGAGACTGTTTTCTTTGAACTGATACCAAATCATTTCAATAAGAAAAACTAATGCAGTTTATTCTTTCACGGGAGTTTCCAGTTCTATTGTAGTCAGCAGTTTCTACAAAAAAACCTTGAAGGGAAACTCAACACATTCCACAGTGCTCAAACTATCTGGAAATTCAGACATGAGTGCACACTTGGAGGGACAAGTTTTTTTGTGTGTGTGGGTCAAATTTCCTTCAAGATTCAAAGTATGATGCATTGGCAATTCCTCATATTGTAGAAGCAAGAATCCCAGAGTTCTCCAAAGACAATGGTAAGAAAGGAAGTTTTCATCAATCCATTAGAGATGAGAGAAAACTCTTTTATTATGGTCCTTGTCATCATCAGTTCCATGAGAAAGAAAGTGCCAGGCTTTGGCTAGCCATGTTTGAAAATTTTTGAAAACAAACAAATGCAAGACAATTTGGGGACAATTGGGGAAATGTGATATGGATTATATATGAGATGGTAGGGAACTATCGTTAATTCCTTCTGAAATTAGGATGAAAGTAGGATCGTGGTTCGCCAGGAGATGGCCTTAGTCTTAGGAGATCTGTGCTGAAATATTTATGGGTGAAGTGTTGTGATGATTGTGTCTTATTTTCAACTGGTTTAGTCAACAACAACAACAAAAAAGAGAATAAAATAGGAACCATTGTTGAATCTTGGGAGGAGAGTATATGGGTGTTCATTGAACCTGTCTTTCAATTGAGCACTTTTGAAATCTTTCAAAATCAAAAGATATTAATATAGATTTATTACACAGTATATAATGGCATACTATAAATCTATATTACTATATACATGTTCTGTCTCATGAACAGAATTTAAACCACTAGAAAAGGCTGAGCAGGGGTTTAGCGTGGCTTGGTCCATGCCAGCATCTCTCCTGGTAAAAGTCATGGAAGCAATAGGCTTCTCTCCCTTGCGACCAACCTGGTTCATTCCAGCAGACTGGCGCTCGCTCTCAGTCTCTTTTTTTCCTTTTCCTACTAAGCATTCTGTAGCAAGAGCCTGCCCAGCCCTCTGCAGGAGCTGTCACTCAGGCACCAGGGTTTCAATCCCCTAGAACTCAAAAACAAGAGGCAACGTTTGTTGAGCTAAATTATCTCTTTATTAGGAAAGCAACAACACCACATTCTTGGAAATTACTGGAATTTTATTTGCCTCAGGCTTATGACTTGCAACCAAAGACATTGTGCAAAGAAAGCAAAGATTAAGTACACTTTAGGGAGAAGGAGACGATACACATTGGTAACATAGGAGATCAAGTTGACAAAAGAAGCCATCCAATACACTATATAGATTGCAATATTCAATAGCGTTTTCAACAAAACTTTTCTTCTTTAAATCAAGAGCCAAAAAATTAAGCAATGTTTACAGTAGACATAAATCTTATACAATTCAAAAAGCATTTTTCTTTTCAGATCATAGAGCATAAAATGGAAAAATGTCTATGCAGGTGAAGTCTACCTACTGTACATTTATCACCTATTAAAGTTGCTTATATGTACCACAGTGTAAAAAAAACAATACCGAACAAATAAAAACCTTGAAAATTGCCTGATGAAAAATAAAATAACCAGTGGCTTTTAATGGCTTCTCCTGGTTATCAGTACTACAAAAAGACAAAAATCTTCTCATCCGAACAGGTGATAAAACCAGGCACAATCAAACTGTTACCAAATTAGACCCACCCATAGAAATATACTATCCACCCACATAGTTTCCATCAAAAGCTTTTTTCTGTTTGTTTTAATCTTTGAATCTTTGAGGCCCATTTGGTCACAATATGTTACAAATATTTGTGTGTGTGTGTGTGTGTTTTTTTACACCATGATATCATATGTTTGTCTGGCACTATCCTAAAGCTAGTTTATAGATGATGATGATAGAGAAACAGCCCAGCGCCCCCATGACAAGTGAACTCACTGGGCAGAAATGAGAGAGGAGAGGAAGGAATTCAGTTCTTGCAAGGAAAAAGGTCCATATGGATCACTCATCATCAGTTCCACTTGCTTCTGACTGTTCCTAAAAGTAAAAATAAGATAAAATGGAATAAAATTACATGTAAGAAACAGAAGACATCATAAACCATCAAGAGGCAAAATAGAAAAGAAAAGACATTTTGGAAACAGTTAACCCTCCAAGCCACTTCATTCTGTGGGAAGATGGAAAGATACCAAAGAGGCATTGACAGCCTCTACACTGAAAAGGGGAGCGGCTAACTGGAACCCCCAAAGGAACAGTCACCATCTATACTAGTGTTTTGCTGTCTTTCACTGTGGCATGAAAAGTCTATGGCTAATAATTCCTCTTTTTAGCACTATGTTTTAGGAAATTCATGGGAGGAAAAAGTAACGATGTATTTGATGTCTCCTCACCGGTAAGTCTTCTAAAGAAAACATAGTATTTTAAATGTATTTGAAAAAGCTTGTGCCCAGGGTCAAGGCTGGGTGGGGTGGGTGGGATAAGAATTCTGAAACTTTCTCATCAGACCCAAACGGCTATGTGCTGAAGGAAAATCAAGCTAGCATACTTATGTACTAAAATGGAAAATTATCTTTCCAGAAAAAAAGTAGAAGGTGGGTGGTAGGGAACCTGAGGTCCTCTGGAAAGTGAATGAAAGGGAGGGGACTTCAAAAGGCTAGAAGTTTCTGCCAGCACCGCTCCCTTGTTGCCCACACAGTCAGGGATAGCTGACTTATGACTGACTGAGTTATGTTGTTTGGGTCTGAATTCAGCCGCTATTTACTTACATGACTTGGAGCAAAACACACATAATGTAAGCACTGATTTCTGTAACTTGCTGAGAGTGACATCTATCTCATGATGCTAACATAAGCCTTAAACATGGTACCATAGGGGAAGGTACTTATTTCAGGGCCTGGCTCCATAAATCCCCCCTGAATTTTTCATATCTTAAAAAATAACACCTCTAAGTACTTAAAACTTCATCCAGATTTTTTGTATGGCACCTTAACTAGCAACTCAAACCCAAACTGACATTACAACACTTTTTCTCATTCTTTCATCTAATGATTATTTCATCTATATACTGCTATAAACTAGGCACTAGGCACGATGCTGGGTGTTACGGATATAAAATATTAACTGGCCAAGGAGAAAACTGTATTTGTGGGAAGATAAGAAAAGGGAACTTGATTTAGTAGTTTTTCATTTGTGAAGACTATTAAAAAAGCAATAAACACAGCCCCAAATTCTCTGATATAAATCATGCAGCTCAGTTCACATCTCTCAATAATGAAATCTCACCAAATCTTTAGGTTTTCCTTTCTGGGTGGTAAAGTGAAGAGGTTGGAAGGGGCATGCAAACACGAGAGGGAAACAGAAGTGGAGAGCGCTACCCCCGCCCGACTTCAGCCCAAGCCCACCAGGCTTACATTTTCATCTTGCTCTTCATCACTGTCAAAGTCGCTCACGACGGGTTTGGCTTTTCCTCGATTTGGCCTTTTCTTGCCTTTTCCTTTGTCCCGGCCTTTCTCATCTTTTTTATTGAGCTTAATTTTCACCTTAACGGATTTTGCTACAACAAAATAATATAGACAGCAATGAGGAATCACAGGAAAATCTTCTTACACGTAGTAATAAGATTGACGAACCAAACGTCCAGGAGCGCCCAGAACATTCTCAACTTATGCCTGTTCTCCATCATCCTGTCTAGCAACCCCTTTCACTTACAGCCGTGTCTCAGTTTGGACGATAAATTACATCATCGCCGTAAAACAGGCAACAAGAGGGAACGAGGTCCCATGGAGGGCAGCTGGGCTGGGTCCTTTCCCTGGCTCCTAATAGCTGAACAGGGATCTTCCTAAACAGGATAATGAGGATTGCCCTTCCTATTTTGTGGAGGGGTGTGGGCATTTATTTAATAGAACTTGACATTAAAAAGTATAAATAAGTGTAAACGGTTAAGAGAAAAGGCCAGTAATTTTACTATGTAGATAACTCCAGTTGACTTAAACAAAAAGAAAATTCAAATAGTTGAATAATATTTTTAACAACACAGAAAGGTGCAAAATGAAAGTAAAAGCAAAACAAAACACTCAAATGAATCTGAAAGCTTCCTTTCCCCATCTCTAGTCTCTCTTCCTACTGTTTTCTTTCTGGTCATTATTTCAAAAAAAAAAAGTATACATCCATACCCGCAAATATATCCATCCCTGTGTGTGTATGATTCTATCTATATATAGATTCCATAAAATTCTATATAGAGAGAATATAAAGGATTCAAGTATATAGACATACACTCTTGCTTTATATAGTTATACCAAAGGAATCTTTATACATGCCCATATTCCATGCCTTGCCTTTTTTCTCACATATGTGGACATTTCTATGCATCAACTAATACATAACTGTCTAATTCTTTTTAAGGCCTGAAAATTTATGGGTACACTGTAATTTATGTAACCAGTTCCCTAGTGATGGGCACCGAAGTTCCTAGCTTTTTTGCCAGTATGAACAAAGCTGTCATAAACCTATTTGTTGACATATCTTGCCAGAATTTCGGGAGGTATGGTGGACATATTCACATGGTAAATTTCTAACAGTGTTCTGCCAAATTTACCTTCAGGAAGATGGTACCTATTTCTACTCTCACAGGGCTTTTCTGAGGATAGAAATAAAAATTGGAGAGTTCAAAGTGCTAACCAACAGATATAGGTGCATATCCCAAAGTTCAAAGAAACCCTGTTCCATGGCATCGTTGTGGGATAGATGTCCACTGAATACCATTTTTAGGATTTCATGATGAAGTTACTGAAACTGTGGGTCTCTCATGCAAACCAGTTTTGCTAGAATATCATGTTTGGTGGGTCTCAAGACACCTAGAAATAGATATTGTCATGGAAGGAATCAGTTCCAGAAGGAATCTTAGAAGAATTTTTCACACATCTTTTGTGAAGTCGAGGGACCCACAAAACATTTACAAAAATGAAATCTTCCAGGGAAGTGTAGGCTACCCAAAAATATGAGAGCAGATCTGTTTTGAACTGAAGTGTGGTGACAACATATGCCCTTCCCCCATCCCCAAAGGGGCAAAGGCTGGCAAATCCTAGCACACAAAACAGTATTCCTAGTTGAGGCTTCTATCCATCTTGTGCGAATGTTTGCTGCTGAATGCGCTATAAGGTGGGGGCCTGTTGCCTTGGGTGAAGTAATTTAAGATAAGAAGAAAAGATTCAGGATGAAAAGGTCTATTAATGCAAATGCACGAAGATGTGGAGGCCTCTAAAAGATTTTTAAATAATCTGGAAAGAAAAAGTGAAATATCTTTATCTACACAGGTGTTGCCGTTCCTGACATGGGACTATGGGAAATCCATGCAAGGTGTGAAAAAGCAGAAGCCTGCCAGTGAAGGTAAGAAAATGCATCCTTAGGAACATGATGTAAATGCACCTTGGAGTGTGGGACACTCTAAAGTTGGCAGGCTTTGTGTGTCAGTGGATACCCAGCTCCAAAATCCCCCCTGACAGGCTGCCATGGACAACTAGGCTAATAAACTGGCCCATCAGGTGAGCCCTAGGAATAGGATGCTAAGGCTTTTTGATACCACCATGCGGACTCATGAAAAGTTCTAATTACCAAGAGCAGTAGGCAGAATAATGACCCCCTCGTAGATGTCCATGTTCCAATCCCCAGAACCTATGAAAATGTTACATTACACGGCAAAAGGGATTAAGGTTGCTGACCAGCTGACTCTGAGGAGGGGAGACTATGCTGGACTGACCAGGTGGGCCCTGAGTCCCTAAAAGTGGAGGAGGAGGTGGTTCCAGTTCAACATGATGAAAGATCCTCAACCCACCTCCTCCCACAGACACACCACACATCGAATCTACAGCTACATATATGGAACAATTTCCTCTGAAAAAAACCCTAAAAACTAGCTGGACGACTCCTACACATCAGGCAAACAAGAAAAAAAAAAAACGTTGAAGCAAGCAGGAGAGGCCAAGACGCACTCTCACGATAAACCCCACTCCTGGTGCAGTGACGCTGAGGAGGGAAAGATTTGAATCCCACATTGGGCACCTCAAATTTTAAGACCTGCACCTGAGAGATGAGCCCCCAAATAGCTTTGAAAACCAATGAGGCTCACATGAACTGAGAAACGGCTCTTAAAGGGCTCACACCATGGGACTCACCCACTCCAGGGCCCAGCACAGGGGCAACTGATTGAGAAGCACCCAGACTTCGTGCAAAAGGAGGCTTATTTGCTTATCTTAAAGCATCAGCCAGAGAGGCAGGCATCTAACTTAACACACATCTAAAGGCCTGCTGAGGTATGGAGGCTGGCAGGTGCCATCTCTGCCTTGCTCCCGCTCACCAGTATCTCATGGAAAAGAGCTTGTACCATCCTCTGGTTCCCCATTTTTTGCAACTAGCCCCTCTCCCCAGGGTACAGCATGAGGCCTATTAGCTTATCCTCACAGAAGTAGCCAAGAAGCAGGGTTCTAATTAGGCACCTGTCTAAGGGCTGACTGTAATCCTTTTCAGAGACCTCAGAGGGTGGGCACTGTCTTCGTGCTCTCTCTCTCTGCCAAGTTCCAGAGTGCTAGTATCTCCCAGAGGGGAGCTTTTGCACATATCTGGTGCCCCAGTTTTTGGAACTGCTTCTCCAGAGACACCTCTAGATTGCCTGGCTGTGGTGGCCAGTGGAGCTAATGCTTGTAGTCCCACAGGACGGTATATATTTGCATACTTTAAAAGCTGCTGCCTGAGGCCCTGGCTTACAATCAGCCTGAAGCTAGGTGCTGACTGAGATCCTCCCCTTTGGGATGCTAATAGGTCTTGGCACACCTCAACTACTGGGAGACACTAGAAATAAAATAGGCTGCTTGGAAAATGAAAAAAGTATGAGAGACAACCAAGAACAAGGACAGGGTTGAATGATAAGGTTCACCTACAGGAGGCCCCTCCTTTGAGACTGGGAGAGGTAGCTATTTTATCTAAATGCACAGCAACCAACACAGAGAGTCAAGGAATATACTCCAAACAAAAGAACAAGATAAAATTTCAGAAAAAGTCCTTAATGAAATGGAGATAAATGACTGACTTGATACAGAGTTCAAAATAATGATCATAAAGATGTTAACGGAACTCAGGAGAAGAACGGATGAGCACAGTGAGAACTTCAACAAAGAGAAAGAAATATAAGAAAGTACCAAACAGAAGTCACAGAGCTGATGAATACAATATCTGAACGGAAAAATACACTAGAGGGGTTCAGTATCAGACTAGATGAAGCAGAAGAAAGGATCAGTGAACCTGAAGACACGGCAGTGGAACGCACCCAATCAGAGCAGCAAAAAGAAAAAGGAATAAAAGAAAGTGAAGATACTTTAAGGGATTTATAGGACAACATCAAGTGGAGCAACATTTGCATTATAGGGATCCCAGAAAGAAAACAGAGAGAGAAAGAGGCAGAAAACTTACCTGAAGAGATAATGACTAAAACTTCCCTAAGCTGGGGAAAGAAACAGACCTGCCTGATCCAGGAAATCCAGAGAGTTCCAAAAAAGATGAACCGAAAGAGACCCACACCAAGACACTTTATAGTTAAAATGTCAAAAGCTAAAGACAAAATCTTAAAAGCAGCAAAAGAAAAACAACTTGTCACGTATAAGGAAACCCCCATATAAGACTATCAGCAGATTTTTCAGCAGAAACTTTGCAGGCCAGAAGGGAGTAGTAGCATGAGATAGTAGTCAGAGTGCTGAAAGAAACAAACTTCCAGCCAAGAATACACTACCCTGCAAAGTTATTCAGAATTGAAGGATAAAGAACTTTCCAGACAAGCAAAACCTAAGAGTTCACCACCAGTAAACCAGCCTTCCAAGAAATGGTAAGGGGACTTTAAGCTGAAAAGAGAGGGCACTAATTAGTAACAAGAAAACATATGAAACTATAAATATCACTGGTAAAGGTAAATATATAGCATTGGTAGTGGATTAATCACCTGTAAAGCTAGTATGAAGGTTAAAAGATGAAAGTAGTAAAATAACTATAACTAAAATAATTAGTTAACAGATGCACATGAATATACGCAAAAAAGATAAAATGTGGCATCACAGGGCTGGCCCCGTGGCTGAGTGGCTAAGTTCTCATGCTCTGCTTCAGCAGGCCAGGGTTTCACCAGTTTGGATCCTGGGTGTGGATATGGCACCGCTCATCAAGCCATCCTGAGGCAGCGTCCCACATAGCACAACCAGAAGGACCTACAACTAGAATATACAACTATGTTCTGGGAGGCTTTGGAGAGAAGAAGAAGAAGAAGAAGAAAAAAGGAAGACTGGTAACAAATGTTACCTCAGATGCCAATCTTTAAAATAAAAAAATGTGGCATCAAAAACATAAAACGTGGAGAGGAGAAAGTAAAAATATAGAGCTTTAGAATACATTCAAACTCAAGTTATCATCAACTTAAAAGAGACTGTTATAATGATATGTTGTTATATGTAAGCCTCATGGTGATCACAAAGCAAAACCTATAGGAAATACACAAAAGATAAAGAGAACGAATCTAAGCATACCACTAAAGTTATGAAACCACAAAGGAAGAGAGCAAAAGAAGGAACAGAGGAACTACAAAACAGCCAGTAAACAATAAACAGAATGGCAATATGTACACACCTACCAATGATTACTTTAAATGTAAATAGACTAAATTCTCCAATCAAAAACCAGAGTGGCTGAACGGGTTAAAAAAACAAGAACCAACCATATGCTACCTACAAGACTATCTGACATCACTCACAAAAATTAACTCAAAAATGGATCAAAGACTTGAACATAAGACCTAAAACTGCAAAACTCCTAGAAGAAAACAGACAGTAAGCTCGTTGACATTGGTCTTGGTGATGACCTTTAGAGTTTGTCACCAAAAGTAAAGCCAACAAAAGCAAAAATAAACAAGTGGGACTACATCAAACTAAAAAGATTCTGCCACAGCAAAGGAAACCATCACCAAAATGAAAAGGCAACCTATGGAATGTGAGAAAATATCTGCAAAGCATATCCGTTAAGTGGTTAACATTCAAAATACATAAAGGACTCACATAACTCAATAGCAAAAAAAAATCTGATTTAAAAATGGGCAGAAGATCTGAAGAGGCATTTTTCCAAAGGACAACAGGTGCAGGAAAAGGTGCTCAACATCATTAATTATCAAGGAAATGCAAATCAAACCCACAATGAGATAGTGCCTCACACCTGTTAGAATGGCTATTACCAAAAAGACAAGAGAGGACTGTTAGGGGCAATGTGAAGAAAAAGGAAACCTTGTGCACTCTTGGAGGAAATGCAAATTGGTGCAGCCACTATGGGAAACAGTATGGAGGTTCCCCCCCAAATTAAAAATAGAACTACCATGTGATCCAGCAATGCTACTTCTGGGTATTTATCTGAAGAAAACAAAAACACTAACTCAGAAAGATAACTACACCCCTATTCATTCCAGCATTATTTACAATAGGCAAGATATGGAAACAACCCAAGTGTCCAACAATAGATGAACGGATAAAGAAAATATGGTAAATACATAACAGAATATTATTCACCCATAAAAAGAAGGAAATCTTGCCAATTGCGACAGCATGTATTGACCTTGAAGCCATTATGCTAAGTGAAATAAACCAGACAGAAAAAGACAAATACTGTATGATCTCTCTCATATGTGAAATCTAAAAAACAAAAATAACTGAGAACAGATTTGGTGGTTGCCAGAAGCGGGGGAGTCAGGAGGTGTGTGAAACAGGTGAAAGGGGTCAAAAGGTATAAACTCCCAGTTATAAAATAAATAGGTCACGGGGTTTAACGTACAGCATGGCGAGTATAGTTAATAATACTACACTGTATATTTCAGAGTTGCTAAGAGAGCAAACCTTAAAAGTTCTCATCACAAGAAAAGAAAATTTCTAAGTATGTATGATGACAAATATTAACTAGACTTATAGTGGTGATGTCACAATACATACAAATATTGCATCATGCTGTATAGCTGAAACTGGTATGTTAACGTCAAGTACACCTCAAGAGAAAAAAAGTAAGTGGAAGAGGAGGAGGCAGAAGAGAGAGTCAGAGATGCCAACGTGAGAAGGATGCACAAGGAAATGCATTCTCCCCTCGGTGACACCTTGATTTTGGCCCCAAGAGACCCATGACAAACTTGTGACCTAAGGAAGTACAAGATAATAAACTGTGTTGTAATAAGCCACTAAGTTTGTGGAAATTTGTTATCGCAGCAATAGAAAGTTATTACACCAAGTATCAAGAAGGATTAAAGAAACTGAACTCATCGACGGGATAAGAGGGCAGCTGTTTGAAAACAGATTAGAAATCTGGCTCTAAAATAAGGAAATATTTAACTGAGATAGGTAATGTAGACTTATTCATCAAATGCTAGGCTATTACAACTAGGGAATAACCACGTGAACTTGAACAAGGTTCATAAATAAAAGGCAGAATCACTAAAAAGACGACGACTGAGAGCAGATGTGGGTGTGGGGAAACGGACACTCCTAGGCTGCTGACAAAGACATAAACTCCGTTCTGTGTGGCAATATGTATGCATCAGATGTTTTAAAAATGTCTGCAGTCACTTATGGGTAAGAATTTTCAGGACAGCATTATTTAGAGTGAGAGTAACACATTTTGGTACATTCACTAATGAATGTTAATATAAACTGCTGTATAGAAACACCGATTGCTATGAGAAAATGTTCATAATAAATAGAAAAATCATGCTACAAAACAATGTGCTATACTTTTATAAACAAAATATTTATGTACAGGAAAAAAACTGGAAGGCAACGTCTCAAAATGTTAAGTGTATATTGGGTAATGGAATTACACAAATTTTCCTTTCTTAAAAAAATATTTTCCAAGTTGTCTGTACTAAGAATATAATTAGGAACAAATCTAATAAAAAATTTTAAAGCATATCTGTGCTGTTTTACATAGCAGACCATAAACTACTGGGATTTATTACTTTGAGAAGAGTTATGGGGTGAAAACATAATTAGGTAAGAAGAAATTTTAGACTTTTGAAGGCAGACTTAACCTCTGAAATATTAGGGTTAGCAACCAGGGCTGGGCCTAGGGAAAGATAAGGGAGGTACTTGCCTTGGGTACCAAATGTGAGAGGGCACCAAAACTTGGCAATCGAGACAAATGATATTCTAAAGAAATATTTTAAAAACTCAAAATTAATGCAAAAACAATCCGTGATGAAAAAAATATCAAAATTTTAAATAAAGACAGGATCAGTATCTGCTCCATGATGGACCACAGTTTCAACTCAGTTTGACCATTATTTTCTAAAGTGGTGATTCTCAGAGTGTGGTCCTGGGCCCAGCAGCATCCGTATCCCCCAGGAACTTGTTGGAAATGCTGACTCTCAGGCCCCACCCCAGGCGACTGAATCAGAGACTGCAGGCAGTGGAGCCCAACAATCAAAGCTCTATCAATCCCTTCAGGCTAGAGAGCTACTGTGCTACAGAACAGGTAGGTAATATTAACAACCATGTTGGGAGAAAATGTTTATTACACTGATATTCAAAGGCAGCATTCAGTGAGCCTTTGCTAGGAGCCTGGCCATATGCTAAGCTTTTTGCATGCTTAGTGGGGCGGGTGGGGGGGGGGGAGCATGTTTACTGCCTCTGTTTTACAGAGGAGGAAACTGAGCTTGAGCGGGGTTAAGTACACCCCCTGAAGTTGGCCAGCAAGGACACGGGAGACCAAGGATGGGAATCCAGATCTGCCTGACTCTAAGGTCTGTTCTGTTAGCATCTGTGGAAACATCTATGCAGGTGACAAGGGGCAAAGAAGTGGAGGAACCACATGCCTGGGCTTACCCTCCGACTCTGACTCCTCTTCATCTTCCTCTTCCTCCTCTTCATTGCTTTCGTCCTCACTCTCTTCCTCTTTGGCAATTTTCTGCCGAGCACTCTTAAACACTGACTGTAAGACGATGGAGTCTTCATAGATCTAAAGGGTCAAAGCGGCACCTGTTAAAAACTGCAAGCTGAGGGCCCAAGATTCACAATTGCAGTGTGCTCTTCTCTTTGTTATGCAACACGCTAACTTTATTTCACATGAATTTTAGTAGAAACGTCAACATTAGCTTTTAGGCCTACAGGAAAACACCAAACTCAAATACAGACACACATATTCTTATAGGAAAAAGTCCATATGCAGTTGAAATAACTTCAGTGTGTGTGTATGTGTGTGCGTGAGTGTGTGCGTGCATGCACTTGGGAGAGAAGGGTGGATTTCCATAAGACATCCTCCCATCTTTGACAACAAAAATGCTATTTGAAAAACTACATTTCTTATTTGAATTGTTCTATCAAGTGGTTTGGTGAACCAATCTTCTTTAAAATGCAATTCCCCTAACAAAATGGAAGCTATTCTTTATTACTGAGTTTATCAGTACCAGACAATACTATTCCAATCAATACTTTATTTTTAGTGTGTGCACACACCTAGGCATAGCCCTGTGTAGTTGCTGAGAGAAATACAAAGTTCAAAAATGGTTCTTTTTCTCAAAAAATTAAAAATAGGAGTACCATACAATCCAGCACTCCCACTTCTGGGTATATATCCAAAACAACTGAAATCAGGGTCTTGAAGAGAGATTTCCACACCCATGTTTACAGCAGCATTACTCACAATGGCCAAGAGGTGGAAGCAATCCAAAATGTCCATAACTGATGGATGGATGAACACAATGCAGAATATACACACCAAGGAATATTATACAGCCTTAAAAAGGAGGGAAATCCTGTCACATGCTATAACATAGATGAACCTTGAGGACATTATGCTAAGTGAAATAACAGCCCAGTCAGAAGAAGACAAAAACTGTGTGATTCACTTCTATGGGGTATCTAAAGTAGTCAAATTCACAGAAATAGAAAGTAGAATGGGAATTGGCAGGGCGCCGGGGAGATGGGGAGTTGTTGTTTACTGGGTATAGTGTCAGTTTTACAAGATGAAAGAGTTCTGGAGATCTGTTGCACAACAATAAGAATATATTTAACACTACTAAACTGTAAACTTAAAAATAATTAAGATGACAAATTTTATGTTTTACTACAAGTAAATAAAAAATTAAAAACAGAAAAAAATGATCCTTGCTCTAGGAACACATTCCTTTATTGCAAAGATGAGCCACACACTCAAGAAAGTGACTGCGCAACTTGTGGTAAACACCAAATAATACAGTACAATAGAACAAGGACCAGGGAGAGAACACTGTGATCAACGGGGTCCTTGTGGTAAGAATTTACCAGAGACATCAGAGTTGAGCTGGGTCTTAAAGGTGAGGAGGGTTCCATCAGGCAAGAGAAAGGAGAGAAAGTAAGAAAGGAGGGAAGGCAGGAATAAAAACGATGCAAGTAATTGCACCAATGTCAATTTCCTGGTTATGACACTGGACCGTGTTACAAAACACGTGACTATCTTGCGATGCTATAAAGGGTACACAGGCTCTGTCCGTGTTATTTGTTACAACGCCATGTGTGTTCAGGCAACCAGGTGTTTACGGGACCAGTCAGACTGAACGAGCAACTGTTTAGGTTGAGGAACAGCAGAGAATGAAGCTAAATGAGGCAGGGTAGGGTAGGGTACAACTTTAGAAAGCAGCCTACAGACATGAAATTCATTCTAGAATTTAATAGTACATGGGGTACCTCTAAGCTTGGTAGGCAGTAGATAGACAGGGTGAGAAGGTGTTTAGAGAAAGATAAACTAGTATCCAGGATGGGCTGGGAGGGAAGCCAGCCAAGAGGCCATTTGTCACCACATTTGAGGTGTGAGACAGCGACTGTGGGCAGACAGGGAGGTCGTGGGACTGGAAGCATATCACAATGTTGCCATTGTAGTATAAAGAACCCAAAAATCTACCCAGAGACTTTGAATGGTCATTCGCAAAAGACTTCCTTGTTGACTCCTGCACTTCTCTATGTCCTGGTTTTTCTCTTAACTTTCTTTGAAGAGTGTCTTAAAAACAGAAGGATTGCTTTCAAGACCTATTATTTTGGTCAAAATCACACTACTATTAACCATTAAACCTGGAAATACACAGTCTGTTCAAGGCACATCCTGAGGATTCCCATGTTCTCCAATTTAGTGATTGGCATTGACAGAAGGTGAAAAAGCAAGATCAGGAAAGAGGCTTAAGGAATTGAATGGTGGCTGGACACGCCTTGGTCGGCAGACGCATGGACCTCTCTTCTCGTTCCTTCTTCTTCACAGGTGGGAGAGCATTAGGCCAGAAATACAGATAGGAAAAAGGGTGTTCATACAAAACGTGAGTGGAATTGAGGTGTAATTAAGTGCAAGTTATTTTAATAAATTCAGTGTCACTTACTCATATACTCTTAGACTTGCCAACTATGGAGAAGAGGAGTAAAGAGAATTGCAATTGGCCTAATATAAGGCATTTTTTATATGCAATTAGAGGCAATGGTTATTTTCTCTCTATATTTTTTTTTGTCTTAAATCATAGCAGTTTCAACTCCTGAGGCAAGGTTACAATCAGAAAAATGAAGGTCAATATAATCAAATACACAATCTCGATGAAAGCAAAACCTGTACCTCTAGCCTTTAAGCATTACATTAAGTGATTTACTTGAATTCTTCCTCTAATTAGAAGCCAAGGCTTTAAGGGAAGCTCAAGTAGGAGCTAGCACAGCTATGGTACAAAGGAGCCGGCATTAAGTTGAAAACGCCAAACCCTCAATTTCCTTACGTAGGTAGCAGGGAATAAAGGATTTTATTTTTCATTTTTCTACTGCCAGGTTACTACCAACGGTTCAAACGGTAGAAAGTGAAATATTTTACGTAACAGAACATAAGCACATTTAAGGTTAAATCTTTTTCAGACAACTGAAGACAGACCTGGGATCCCTCCAAGTTGAATGTCTGAGCATTGTGACAGAGAAGCATGACATCTTTCTCCAGGTCGCCCAGGCTCCGGTATTTATGATTACGAATTCTTTCCTAATGGAAATTTTGGATGAAATAAAGAAGAGGGAGAGAAATGCAACAATCATTACTGGGTAAACAAAGCCCCATTTTCCCTTTGTCTTCTCAGCACACAGCCCCGCCAGGGATGTGGGCCTGCCCAACTCCAGGGGGTGCCAATCACACAGACCACCCTCCCACCAGTATTCCTTCTTGTAAGGGGGAGGAAGGAGAATGCAGTGGGAAACAGGAAGTGCAGTGGGGAAAGGGAATCTGAAACCTTAAATAAAATGCAATATAATACAATATGAGCTCGCAGCATAATGCTTAAATAACACACATGTAAAGGCACAAGGACACCCCAACCTTTTTGGTGACAAGCCCTGGATGGCTGTCAGTGGTGATCAGACAAGATGCCACTGCCAAGTCCTGACGAGAATCATTTCAATGAATTTAACTTCTCCTTTACTTAAAATAAAGTTTGTAAACAAAATAACTACCTTTATTTTTTTGAAATCCACCGGCTTCCTAATTAATTCATAGTATTCTGGTAATTCTTTCCTTGAAGGTAACTGAATGAAGACTTCACTGAGCTGTCGCCCTGAACTGCAGGGTGGAGGAAACAAACAGAAACATAACAGATCATGCACTACTAAGGAAAGGTTTCATTCTATTTCAGAGAATGCCGGAAAAGCAAATTGGCATCCCATGCATATAGACACGCGGCTCTTTAAATCAAGGAAAACTCCACAACTCTACTGGAGATTAATTAACGCCCCTTGTGCTAACTTCAAAATCACATCAAAATACCATTAGGTCCCCACTTCTGTCATATGTATGATTTGGGAAGTCCACTGAGGATTTCTCTATCAGAGCAAACACATCTCTTCATTTTGATCGAAATATTTAAAATATCCTATTCAACCAAAAATTCCATTTTTAATGAATAATAATTGAGTTGGTAAAAAAAAAAACCAGAAACAACAGAGACTTTACTTCCATACTCCTTTGTCTTCAAATTTACTTTACATTTAGAAAATGATATGTTAGAATATATTCTGGAAACTCAGATGAAAAGCTTTTGTATGTACCTAGTGACTGTCTTATCTTTTCAGTCTTACTCCTTTTAGGGTATTTTGCACCCCGTGAACCACACACACCTTTATGACTATTTGCCACAGGAACTCCTTCATCATGCCTAACTGCACTTCTGCTTGTGTGGAGCAATTTGGGCAGAAAAGAACAAACATTTAGCAAGTGTGGGTGCCTCATGTTGCTTAGATTCCTGCTGCACCCTCCCCCAAATTTATTGTAGCTTTATTTGAAAGCAGATTTAATAGCAACAACTGCTTAGCATTTTGTAATTTTGACAAAACAGGCAATAAAACGATATAAGCTTTTAACATCACTTAATATTAGAAGCAGACATGGTTAAAGGAACAAAGATTTTCATAATTTAGGTTCAAGACCCTCCTATCTGACCTGGCCTACCCAGATCAATAGCAGCTGTGGGGTATGGTACAGTCATTTTTCACAAAAATCTCGCTTCCCTTATGATGCCATCATGACTTCCTTTGTGAAGCCAGAAATATATTAAAAAAAAATATATATATATATATATAAGTCACTGCCATGTAAATTTCAGAAGGTGATTCTAGGCATGTGAGAGAATGCTAGAAGCAGTGGAAAAGAATGAGTGACAATCTGCTGTTTTAATCCAGAGTCCCAGTTGTATAATTAAAAAATAATCATAATGACAGTTATCATAAAAAAGGCATGCGCAGTAACTCAAATGGTTGCCTAGCAACCGGTGGGGAACAGGCTGAAGTGCAAAGGGGCCTGCATAAATTAGCCGAAAATCCTCTGTCAAAGGGATGGGTGAGTTTTTCTGTTATACTGGGTGACTGTTGTGTTTTATTTTATTTTTTAATGCATATATAGACCTCATGAATACTAAAATCAGGGGTGAACACAAGAGGTTTACGAGGACCACAGTTTAATAGGGAATTGGGTTTTTAGATGATGGTGGCAAGAACTAAGGTGTTCTCTCACCCTCACATCCACTCCTACCCTCCCCCCTCCAGGTGGAGAAATGCGTTTGTACCTCCATAAATTATACCACACAGTACGTGACAACAACTATTTTATTTCCTATCACCTTCAACATAGGGCCACAATATCTGGTCGATTCTTTTTCTACCATTCTGAGATTTATATACGCAAACATTTTACCTGATTGAAAATGAACATCTGAAAGGCACTGACAGGAATTTATAGACATTAGTTTTCCTATCAGAGACTTCTTTATAATTAGCATTCTTTACAACCTAGCAAAGATCAAAAAGACGTCTTGGTAATCTTGGATTTGACAGCTGACCCTCAGTGACATCATCATAGTGCCATTTCCTACAATGCCAACAGATGGTGTCACTTTCCTATTGAGGAATGACCAGCACATCTTTGCTTTGTACACCTGTGATGGACACAATTCTTTATTTCAACTGTGCTCTTGAAAGAAATAAGTGGATTGCACCCAGAGTGTGATAAACCTCTTTCTAACAGGGGCAAAATGGCTAAAACAACCTTGGTCTGATGTCCTGTCCTCAGTTAGGTCACAGAAACTCTAGACCCTATAAGGAGACAATCCAGAGTTATCTGTGCTCCTGAAGGAGAGGGCTGAATGTTCTGAGACTTATGACCAACAGTGTAAAATGAGACAAATTTATTCTGTTTCAAAAATAAAGGCTCACTCGACTAATATTCCTACCCTTCTGCCTTTTTCCCCTCCTCAGACCAGAGGACATGAGCTAGAGAAGGACCTGGAAGTGATCTAAGGAAGTCTTCTTGTGGCTGTGTTGGCACCAGCGTCACTCAAACACCTTAGGCTGGCTTTCAAAGCTCTCCTCAGCTCATTCTTTGCAAACTGAATTTGTACTGTTGACCTGATTCTTCTGGTCAGAATAGCCTTTGTCCTGCGTACCTCCTCGTACCATCGCCAATTTCCCCTTTTTAACTAATTCTAAGTTTCCAGCCTTGACCCACCTCTCACTCTATGGCTGGAAGGTTCTCTATCCTTTTCTCTTCAAATACTTCATTATTTATCCAGGATCAAGAATCTATCTTCCACAAAAATGGAAGAAATCCTCCTCAGTATTAAGCTACCTCTTGGTACCTCGCTGCTCATAACTTCATTCTGTGTATGTTGTTTCTTCTCTCCTCCACACAGGGTGGGAATATTTACAAGGCAGTAAAACCCCTCCTCCATCCCTTTCAGAGGCAATGGCTCTGAAGGCCAGCCTGGGCAGGAAATGTCAGGAGGTCCTGGAAGACGTCCAGCTTCTACATAACCTATAGAACCATCGGGATAGCAGGACCATTTGCTAATGGATCACTACAGTAACTTACTTCTTCCTACATTAAAGGTTTTAAAAAAAAAAGTAAATCAAAAAAAAGGGGAAGCGAAGCAGGCTGATAAGAGTTTTGAATTCCTGGCATTTCTTTCTCAAACTTAAGCTGAGCAAAGGCTTTTTCAACATACCTTTTCAAATGCTGGGTTTTTTTTTTTTCTTAGTGCCAGGTTTTTTTCCTTTTTTCTTTTTTAAGTACAGAACAATAGACTAATTGTACAATGGTTTGCAGAAGGTGTTCTGTTTCTGTTGAAATACTTATCCTACCCCCAAGGTATTTTCCATTATGTCACTTTACACAATTTAAGGCCTAAGTATGAACTGTTACCTCTAAGTGGGCTGCTTCCCATGACAAAAGTGATACTGCTCCCCTCCTCCAAAAGAGGATTCCACTATTCAGATCTATTTTGTACAACGACCTAACACAGAATAAGAAATGGGACCCCGAGAAGACACGGGATGTCTTAGAGGGGGAGGATGTCATAGGGGGAGGAGGGGAACCTAAAATACAAATTTAAGGGAACATAGTGCACTACATAGAGTTTACAGGTGCTGGTGGGCAAACACATTTCCTCTCCATACTGGTGAATGGGCACAGGGACACATGGCCATGATGTCATGGTGTGTGAGATGGAAAAGCCCCATGTGCCACTGTAAACGGCGATTTGCAAATGCTACATGTAGAGCTTATACGTGTACACACACACATATGCACACACACAATTGAGATTTACTTTGCTGTGCTTCATCTGGGAACCAATTTCTGTCCCATTACCTCCGCAAAGCAAACTGCAATAATTTTACATCTATACTACTACAACTCTCAAATGGTCACTGCATACATTATAAATATTACATAAATATCAGCTTTATCTTTGATTG